ATTTACTCTCTGTATTTCTAAAGCAGGATCATTTTAGCATCAGTTGACCATCTTATCGATATTCCTTGTGTTAGGTCAGTGGAACATGCACAGATGAACAAACGGGTTTAGGTCTCTCAAAATCAGGATACAGAAATATTTTCTTCATTCTTTCAGGCTAACGAGCAGTGACAGGTATTCAAAGCATCAGACTGTCAAAACTGTGACTTCTCCTGTCGTCTGCATCATAATCTGTTTCTTAGTAACACTTGGTCTGAGCAGCAGTAATAAAATTAATTATACTTCATTTTGCTGCCTTTAACAGTATTGACCAAATTTAAGAACAAATGAGAAGTGCTTATCAAGCTTGAAGAAAATAATCCATCAGTGGCACAATTTAAATTCTCTGCAGTTCTCTTATTAATCAAAGTAACACTTACTATCCTATCTCCACTTCCCATTAACAGTCATTAAGCTCTGCTGCTGATTGAAGCAATTTCTTTAGGGACCTCAACCTCATTTTTAAGAGAAGCTTCTTTAGTGGAAAACAATAATCATATAAGCACGGCAACTTAAAAGAGAGGAAGAGGTTCTTCAATCATGTTCTGACCTTGGTATTTTCTAACAGCGGAAGTTCAGAAAAGCACACAGACTGTAGGACCCGCAACCCTGAGGACGGAGGGCCCGCCCTGGCCTCAGCTCGCGAAGGGGACACGCGTCCAACAGCGAGGCGTGGACTTGGCTCGAGCGCCTCACCAGCCGCTCGGAGCCACCGCGGCCCTCGTTTCGTTCTTGCGCTTACAACGTGAGCTGCGTCTCAGAAACGGGGAACACGCCGACAGGGGTTCCCCAGGAGGACCTTCCCCTGACCTGCGGTTCTGAGGAGGCCCACGGTGGGCTGGCGAGGGGAAGGCCTGGCATCTGAAGAGTCGGGTTTGGAGCGCTGCTCCCCGCTTCCACCCCACGGGACCTGCCTCCATTCTTCTCTGAAATGGAAATAATAGTATCGTCTGCTAAGCTTGCCTCTCCGAATCGTTGTGGAAACCACACGAAAAATATATGTGAAAGTCCTTTGAAAGCGCTGAACACTGTAGTCCAGATATTAACTAGTCGAGCCCCAGAAGCCACAGACGGTGTTTCATTCAACTCTCCCCCCAGGTCCTTGCCGGCGTTGATGCACAGTAGGTGCCCGGTGAGGGCTGAATTAATGCTAAAGAAGCCCTTATTCTAAAAATGAGAATAAGATGACTCCCATGACTGAAGTGGAGTAATGGTCTTTTTCAAAAACACCCATCATGCACGGAGGGGCCTATGGATATGCACAGCACAACTCAAGGGCACTGGGGAAAAAAAATTGCTAGAAAAAGGGAATTGAGAGAGCGATGTCTGTAGGGCTGAAAACAGGTCTGTGCTCAGGATGACTGAGGAACCCATCTGAGGAGGAAAAAGCCCAGAGGCTGCTGGTGACTGGCGAGGTAAAGCAACACCCGCCTGCCAGTCTGGTCAAGCCGGGAAGGAGAGTAGAGCCCGGGCCGCTTTCTCTCCGAGTGCCCACCGCTTCTGCCCCTTGGGATTTCACGTCGGTGCCCCTGACCGCAGATGGAGGAGGCAGGCTGTTTATAGTCAAGTCACCAAGCTGAAGGCCAAACGATCGCACGTCAGGATGGGGAGTGGACTTGGGAACTAGGCTGTGGGCTGTATCTTCTCCGCACCAGCTGTGTGTCGTGTCAAAGCAGCCGGGGTCCCGCAGTCTCCTCATCTGCAGAATCCCTCCGAAACCAGCGTCTCCTCTGGTTATTAATCGTAACTCACCATAATCCTAATATTTGTAAAACCCTGATACAGTATGGCACTGGCTCTGAAATCTCAAGCCGGTAAAACACTCAGTGTTCATCCTGCTCAATCTTACTAATGAGGACACAGGCTCGGAGAGGCCCAGGGGCTGTCGAGAGGGACCGCTGCACGTCTGTCCCCTTGTTATTTCTATGCTGTAAACATAGAACTCTTTTGCTTTGAGTTTAGCTCAAAGATAAGGGTTTCAGAGAACGGACAGGTGAGACAGATCCATTCTTTTTCTTTAATGGTCAATGTCTCAGGAGAGATAAATCAAGACCTGGATCTGAATTTGCTTGGCCAGCGTAGACGTGAAGACGCCTTTCAATAGGGTATCGGGCCTGATGCATAAAGACAATCATACAATCAATGAAGAGACGGAGCCACCTCAGATTCTGATGACCACTGATGTTTCCAACTGCAAACCGGGCCCCGTCCTAAGAGATTCCCAGAGGCCGGAAGAGAGCAGAGTTCAGCGGGCAGTGAATTTTCTTCCCTCGAGGAAACGAAGGGCACCATCCACCACTTAATTTCCGGTAAGACGTTAAATGTATGATCCTCGTCTAAGGAATGAAACGCTGAGCTGAATTTTCGGATCAATGGAATACCTACTCCTGTTAAGCACTTAGAAAGGAAAACATCCACAAAATGTCCCATTAGGCTGACAAATTTATAACACTATGAAAAGGGTGCCAGCAGTTTCTAAGCCGAATAGAGCATTGCGTTTAAAGAGCATGAATGGATTTGAGTTCGGCAATATTTCATCTACACGAACAAGTTTGGCTATCACATCTCTTCCCAATGTTTCCCACGTTTACTTTATACCAGGCCTATGTACACCATGACAGAATGTGGACATCATCCTAAGAAATAAGTTGTAAAATGAATGATATTAAATGGACTTTCACAGCATGAAGACGTGGAAATATATTCTCCTCCTGATGTGTGGGGCTGTACAGACATGAATGCCATTAGCATTAATGGTAATTATGTGCGTAAATCCCCACGCTCAGGATGAGAATATGCCCCTTAGTTGGCGAGTACAATGACGGGCTCATTCTTTGAAGCTAGAAACAGCTGAGACTTTTTTTTCCCCTCTAACTGGGAGAAATATACAGAGTGGCTCCGAGCATAAAATCTGATCACCCCCTCACAAAACATGCAGTTCGAGCACTTGAAACACTCTTTTGCCTCAGAAAAGCTGAAGATGTAGGAAAAAGTCTCAGAGACTGTGGATCTGAGTATTCTAGCAGTTTATGCTTTATCATTCATAGTTTCCTGTCACCTTTAGGGCGGTTACACTACAGGAGCTAGACACTCTCATAATGAACTCTTTTTATTATGGTCCGATAGCTATTGAGAATAATATTTTTCAGTCAACTCAGAAAGGGCCATTGAGCTACAATGAAAATTTGCAGAAAGTAAGCAAATTTAGCATCCTGTTCACCAAAGCCAATATATTCTGATCTCATTGAAATGGGCAGGCAGATGACAGTGCCAGGGAAAAGGTTCAATCTTCTCTTTTTAATTCTTAAATTAATAAGGCAGTGTGACCTCAGTGTTTGGTTAGGCCTTGCCTGACATAGTCGGAAAACAAAAAAGTCCTCTTTGCCAAAAAGTCGGACAATATTAGCACAGAGGGCCGCCTGCTTTGTGAGTTTGCAAACACTCCATCAGGGCACGACAGGGCAAAGAGACACGTGTAATTAAAATATACTAAAAAAACAAGCCATCGTGGCTTTCAATTACAATGGAACTAAAAAAGCAACCATATTATTTCTACAAACTATTTTCACTTAGCACAGTTCAGATGGAATTATTGCCATGACCTTTTAAAAATGTGAAAGAGTGAATCAATACCCTTTCAGAGGCAAGACTGCAGGAGCAGAATTGGCCATGCTGTAATGGTGTGTATTTCTGCATCAGGAGGCAGTTGAAACCTAATTATCGTCAATCACATACAAGGTACCTCCACGTACTGATGAGCACGGGCAGGAAGCAGCGTCCGCGGGAGGGTCCGTGAATGTAGGTCTTCGACGGGGAGGAGCATGTGCGGCCGAGGGACTGGGGGACCTCGGAAGCCCTGAACCAGCAGAGTAAGGCTTACAGGTGAGCTATAGGGACTGTCACTCATTTACAATAACTAACACTGGCCTGTCAGAAACAGCCACCTGTAAATGATGTACGAGTGGCTGGCAGCCTGCCATCCTCCGATAGACCTTGCAGCCAAGAATCACATTTTATTGTCGAGGTCATCGGAATGCTTACTTGGATCTATGCCATATATTATTAAAAAATAACAAACAGCCAATCAGCAACATTTCTTAAGTCTCAAGGGCAAAATGACCAACTTGCTTTTAGAAAATAGGAAACAAGCATCCAAGATGCATTTTAGCCCGTGATTATTCATTGCTTCTCTCCGTATACAAAGAAGCAACACTATGGAGAGGCCTGAGGTCGGTGATACAATGTCAGATGGAGAGATTACATATGGATATTCACTTTTCCTAAGCTGTTTCATCCCTGATGCCCACAAAAAAAAAAAAAAAAAAAAAGAAAACCAACTTCTCTTCACCAACAGCGAAGGTCCCAACTGCTAGACCATGGGCTGGTGACAAGTTCCAGGCTGAGAAAGCCACGGAAACCAGTTAGCAAGGTGAGGAACTAAGGATCTCGGGTTTGATTTTTCCATTCAGTTCCATCTTTCTGGAATCTGCCTGAGAACAATAAAATAATCCTATGTACCATGACCAATGTTTTTTTTTTTTGGTGCAATTTTTAAATACACCATCAGAAGGCCATATCATGTATTTAATTTTATTCAAAAGCCTGTACGTGGGTTTCAACATTATTTCAACACAAGAAACACATTATCAAAATGTTATGGAGACTAGGCCGTGAGAGGTGTTCGGACAACCCCTTGCAAATTTCTTCAAAACCATCCACTCAGTTCTGTAGCCGTAGAATTTCAAATAACGTGCCATCTAGCTTGGTGTTAAAAATCTCTGTGATAATCAGCATGCACAGCCCTGCTCCAGAAGTTCCACTAACTAACAGAGAAATGAAGGATTCTGCATATTTGTTAACATTATATAGTAATTGGACAATCTTTTGTTCAATGCTCTTAACGTTCCTAGAATAAAAACATTAAAAATGCACTTAAAAAAAAAAAAACAGGAATCCTCATT